GAATGCCCACATACTGGAAGATGGGGGATCTGGGTGGAGGAGGCCCAGTCCTGATCCAAACAGACTTGGAGATCTCAGCCCCGGGACCAGCATACATATATATTATACATATGTATACATACTGTACATATGTACTATACAATATACACACTAGTACGAGATATTTATACTTCTTCAGGTTCAGATACTTCTTACTCATCTTTGTGGTGTTTGATTTCCTGAGGGAAATCTTCCTTACTCACTCATGCCCTGCTTAAGGACTAGGTCAATTTTCCTACTTTTTTTGGTGACACCTTCACAAGATTTAGTGATTATTTGTACTGAACAGCTTCTACCCCTTCTGTATTAACTTGTTAACAAATATTGTAGCATTTCAAGGGTATAGATTATGAGGCTAAAGAGTGCCATGGAACAGAACAGACCCTTCATTTATGGGTGTGTCATATCCTTCACAATCATAATCCTGTTAATCTTTTTATGCAATTACTGTAAGACTCTCAAACCATATCTGTAGTTGACAGGATATGCAAGGTGAGATACATCTTAACTTTCCACAGTGAGTCAGAGGCTTAGCGTTTACATTCTGACATCTAGCTTGAAACCTCCTCATAGTTTTTAGTTACAGTGTGTTTTTTCGTTGATTTTTTTTCCAGGTTTTAAATCGCGATTCTGTGGTTTACAGTGCTATTAATAATGGCTCCTCATGCACATCACCCCACCCTTCACCAGTGTACTCCTCTCTCTCCCAAGGTGTTAAGTGGTTGTGTCTCCTTTGCTTACAAGAGCTGTGTCTCCACAGAGGGTCTTCATAGGCATCAGGGAGCACCAGCCTTTGCCCACCCTCAGGCTTTCTCTGAGCCTCTGTGAGCAGCTCGTTTGACGTTAGGAGCGAGCAGGCGTGAGCAGAGCAGGCTACTGCAAGGTCTGGCTGTGTGGATTTAGCTGTTCCTCAAGTCAGGGGTCAGCATTTCACCAGACCTGTCATTCAAAAATGGCGCCTTCACCCCCACCTCAGAACGGATTCTAATTTGTGGTTAGAATTTGACACACTGGTTGGCATTTGACACACCATTTTTGGCCAGGGCTGTCCCCTCATTTCTCCACCTTTTATTTTTGAGTTTCCCAAAGAAATATTTCTTCTTCTCAAGTAAATAAATCTTTTCTTTCCCAAATAAATATTTTACTATACATTGTGGAACATACATACATATTCTAAAACAAAAACTCAAAACCCGATCATCCTCATTTTTATACTTAGTTTTATGTTAAGAGTAGATGGTATGTTTGAGTTGATAATAGGTAGAATGTTGACTAGGCAGTATGCTTGAAAAATTCAAAAAGCAAAATGATATTAAGATGCTTCTCCTCCCTCTCCTTTTCCACATGTCACCTAAACAGATAATCTCTTTAGTCTTTCTTTCTTTCTTTCTTTCTTTCTTTCTTTCTTTCTTTCTTTCTTTCTTTCTCTCTCTCTCTCTCTCTCTCTCTCTCTCTCTCTCTCTTTCTCTTTCTTTCTTTCGTTGGGCCATATCTGGTGGTGCTCAGAGCTCATTCTTGACTCTGCACTCAGGAATCACTCCTGGTGGTGCTCAGGGGACTATATGGAGTGTGGGGGATTAAACCTGGGTAGGATTAGCTTTACCTGCTGTACTATTGCCCTGGCCCTTTTAATAGCAATTTCTTATGTGAATACAAGTTTGATTTTCTATTCCTTTTCACTTTCAAAAATATACTGGAGAACTCTTTTTGGAGGGGGCAGTATATGAGGTGGGTAACACCTGGCTCTATGCTCAGAGATTCAATTTTTATTTAAAATTTTAATTTTAAGGAAATTTGTATTTGTATACCATTTTTTGTGACACCTTCTATTTGTATACTATTAATTTGATTTTCTATACACTCCTGGTTGATATTACCATGATAAACATGACCAAAGTTTTCTTTAAATTTAAAGTGCTGAGGGAACTTCTTGCATTGCGAATTCTAACCTGTGTTGGGGTTACAACTACGTGCTTTCCCCTGGAACTGTTTCTTTCTCTTGTCCCAGCCCGGAGCTCTTAGATTTTTTTTTTTGTACTGGGGCTTGGGACACCGTGAAGAACTTTTAAATCTAATAGGGAGCTTCTTTGTTCTTGTTTATTGTTACATTTTATTGTGTGGATGAGCCATAATTTATGTAACTATCCTCTGTGAGTGGAGATTTAAATTTTCAACTTTTTGTCCAGTTGAGGTATAATCCATGTACCACAAAATGTACTCTTTTAAATTGTGTAATAAAATGGCCTTAATATGGTTTCAATTTTTGTTTTATAGTCATCTCTGAGTGAATTTGTTAATACATTCCTCTGATCATGTTACAGGTAGATCCATAAAATACATAGTTAAAATTAGGATTGCTGGATCAAGTGGGCCATGTATTTTAAAAATTAAAAATTGGTGTTCATTGCTCTCCTTTGGTATTATAGTATTTTGTACTCCCAAAAATGAAGTACAAAAAGGCTTTTTCTTTTCTATTGCCACACGAGGTTTTTTTTTTAATCCCTACCTTTTTATAAGGCAATTTTAATTTTAAGGAAAGTGTGCTATTTGTATACTACTAATTTGATTTGCTATACATTCCTGGTTGATATTACCATGATAAACGTGACCAAAGTTTTCTTTAAATTGAAAAATATCAGTTTTGTGATTGATTCTAAATTGATCTGATTAGCTAATTGGTACCATTGAGGCTTGTCAATTGTTTATGTCCAGGGCCAGAGAGATACTAGAGTGAGTGAGGTGCTAGCCTGGCATGCAGCTGACCCCGGTTTGATTCCCAGCACCACATATGGCCCCTAGCTCAGCATTGCCGGGAGTGATCCCAGAGTGCAGGGCTAGGAGCAAGCCCTAAGCACTGCACAAACCAAGCTAATGTACAGAGCTGATTTGATCTGTGTGCTGTAGTTGAGGTCATAACTTTCTGATCTCATTTCTCTCCTGCCGTGTAGAAACAGTGATGCTGACAGCACTAAAATGGGCTCGACAGTGCCGGCTGTGGATGTTTAAAACTTTTTCCTTATGAAATTGGAAAAGAATCAAAAATGCCCAGTACAGACTTAGTCATTAACCTAGAGATGAAAGGAGGTCACTTTAAAAAGTACTGAGTTGGTGAGGGGTAGGGTATATCTCAAGTGGTGGAGCACATTCCCTGCATGTGCGAGGCCCCAAGTTTTATTCCTGGAACTGTGGCTCCCTGTCCCTGCTACTGGGGTAGCCCAGGCGCCCCCTGAGCACTGCCTGATCGAAGCAGGCCCTACTGGCGGACTAACAACGACTCAGCTGGGCCGAGCCCTGGGGATGTAGCTCCAGCTACCCACTCTGCCTCCTGCACTGCGGGGTGGTCTCTGTAACACAAGGACTGTGTCAGGAGTAGATCTTAATTTTCAAAGATGTTTCAAGAGTGAAGAAACATCTTTTTTTTTTTTCTACTTTTTGGGTCACACCCAGTGGTGCTCAGTGGTTACTCCTGGCTCTGAACTTAGGAATTACTCCTGGCTGTGCTTAGAGGATTATATGGGATGTGGGGGATCAAACCTGGGTCAGCCGTATGCAAGCCAAAAGCCTTACCCACTGTACTATCACTCTGGCCCCCAAGAGTGAAGAAACATCTTGATGCTGTGCAATGGTGGGTGTGTTTGGGACTTGGTTTGGCATTCTTTCCAGGAAGAGTATCTTACCTAGAAAGATTGAAAAGCTGTCTCTAGCAGGTTATGTAGACTGTAAGATTTTCTATAGAAAATGGTAATAAACGATAAAGTCATGCAATTTGTGGCTGCGTGGATGGATCTGGAGAGTATCATGTTGAGTGAAACCAGAGTGAGAGGAACTCAGTGTGATCTCGCTTATATGTGGGGTATAAAGAAATCCTGTAGGAGAATATCAAATACCCAGCGCCAATAGAAATGAAGAACAGGAAATGTCTCTTCAGTAGGAAGCGTGGCACGGGGGCAGGGATGGTTAGGGAAGGTAATATTAGAGGACAGTGGGGGAGGGGAAAGAAGCAAGCTCAGCTAGACTCACAGTGTACTACAGGTAAGAGATTTTGTGGGAGGGAAACTGGAGACATTGGTGGAGGGTAGTGGGCACCGCTGAAGGGATTGGTGTTTGAACAATATACACCTGAAACTCAATCATAAATATCTTTGTAACTTTGAAATTCATGGTGATTCAATTAAAAAGCACAGCAGGTAGGGCGTTTGCTTTGCATGCGGCTGACCCGGGTTCGATTCCTCCATCCCTCTAGGAGAGCCCAGCAAGCTACCGAGGGTATCCCATCCGCACGGCAGAGCCTGGCAAGTTCCCCGTGGCGTATTCGATATGCCAAAAACAGTAACAACAAGTCTCACGATGGAGACGTTACTGGTGCCTGCTTGAGCAAATTGATGAACAATGGGAGGACAGTGGTACAATGCTACAAAAAAAAAGTTAAAAGAAAACTGTAATTGGTGGCCCAGGTAGGATAACAGATAGGGCACTTACCTTGCACACAGCTGCCCTTGGTTCGATCCCCAGCACTCCATATGGTCTCCCAAGCCCCACAGGAATGATCCCCAAATCCCCAAATTGAGAGCCAAGAGTGAGTCCTGAACACTGCTGGATATGCCACCCCCAGACCCACCCCTCAAAAAAAAAAAAAGAAAAAAAAAGAAAAAAACTGGTTTCTATCTCTTAAAGTTTACTTGTTAATTTTGGTTTTGGGACCACACCCAGCAATGCTTGCTGTTTACTCCTGGTTCTGCATTTAGGAATTACTCCTGGTGGTGCTCGAGAACCATATGGGATATTGGGGATTGAACCCAGGTCGGCTGCATGCAAGGCAATCACTCTCCCTGCTCTGACCCCATTGTCTCCTAAACTTTATACACTCAAGTTGGCTTAATTTTTTTAATGACAATATGGGATTATCTTATTTTTTGGGTCATTTTACGTTGTCATTTCTAATCGTTATTATCTTTAAACAGAAACGGAGACTTCTTGAAGAGCTTGAAGACACTTGGCTTCCTTATCTGACCCCCAAAGATGATGAATTTTATGAGCAGGTATGTTCTTTTAATATTTTTAATCCATTTGAAATGATTTGTTCTGTCTATCCAATTTTAGCTGAGGCACCATAGTCTCAGGGGCTAAGTGAGAAGTGAATGGTCTGATTTGACCATTCAGTGATGCACAGAGCACGTCGATCTCTTTGCAGTCTGCTTTCTGTGATGAACTTGGTCCTTAAATAGTGAATTGATTTTACTTCCCTAAATATCTCATGTGCTTTCCTTGCTTGGCTCATTTTATTTCTTCTGCATGGAATTCCTTTTGCCTCTTGTCCTGTTGCCAGATGTCTAATTTCTCAAGACTTTACTAAAACCTCCTTGTGGAAGTGTCTTCATTTTACCTTTCCTACAGAGTCGACTGCACTGTCCTTGTGCTACTTGCATCTTATAAACACATCTGCCGCACCTATCACAGTGCACTGCAGGTAAGAGATTTCTGGGCGCTCTCCTTGAACTAGGTGAAATTTGACTGAAGCTTAAACAGATCTACTGTGGCAAAAAGCAGAGTTTATTGACTTCGATGTCTAAACCACATGGCTGAATCCAGCTTTGAAAAGAGCATCTTCTGATCATTGTTCTCTACTTCTCAAAAATCTTTTCTCTGTCTGACTTTGTGTTGGTTCATTTGGAACACTAATGTGATGTGTGTAGTCTCTAGCTCCGTGGATCTTAGACAAAGGTGCTGAGTTAATTTTTCCAGATTTTATCAAACTCCCCCAGGTGTTGACCAAGTTGGAGACCTGTCCCAGGACATTTGTGGAACTAATTAGTTTTAGGTTCTCAGAGAATTTTATATTTAGGGTTTTTTTTTTTTATAATTTATTTATTTATTGAATCACTGTGGGAAAAGTTACAGAGCTTTCGGGTTTAGGTCTCAGTCATGTAGATACCAAACACATTTCCCTTTACCAATACTCATTTTTAACCCCGAACCCCAATAGACCCCCACCTCCCACCCCTCCCAATTCTTGTGAGGCAGATGAGTTCTAGTTAATACTCTATCTACTTTGACTAGATAGATTATTTCGATAGAAGATGCACAATTATTGTTTAGAGTTTACGACCCACCCCCCACAATCAGACATGCTGAAACAGCATTGTGAAATGATTTGCTTTCTACAACTTGGTTTAAGAATAAAATGATGTCTATCGCGGCCGCGCGGTTTTGAATGTCTGCTATTTTACTTATTGACCCTGGAAGAATTTCTATTAAAAGTTAGCTAGTTAAGAGATTGGTTTCTGTGCCCTGGAGTCGTGGCCGTGCCGGAGAGCCGCTCGTGGGGGGCAGCTGGCGACCTCGGTGGGGCGTGGGGGACGGCCCACAAAGCCCCCCTTCCCATGAGGTCCCTGCCGCTCCCGCCAGCCCCGGCTCAAACCTGCTTTCCACAAGGCTCCCGTGCGGCCGCCATCTTTCTTTCCAGAGAGCTAGGGTTTTTTTTTTTTTTTTTTTTGCTACTTGTGTAGCTGATATGTCATCTTCATTGGTGAATTTCTGTGTTGCCTGTTAGTAATAGCTCATGTGTCACCTTCTGTTATTTTGGACACAGAGTCACCACTTCCCTTTTACATGTCCCTGCAATACTTTATTTGTACCTTTCTTAGCACTTACCTCATGGCTTTATAATGGATTTTATAAGCTGTCTCCCACCATCCACTCTGCTTTGTATAATGTTTGACACCTAGTGTTGAGTTTGCGTGAACCAATGAGTGCACATGCGTTTGTTAATTTAAAAAAACAAATTACATAATCATGAGTTACATATAGTTTGTCTTTTCTCTATACGCGTTCAGTCCTTCCCTAGGTAAGTGGGCATCTAGGAAGATTAGAAGCATTTATAAAGAAACATGTTATTCTTGAGCAACAAGGTTTTTCTCCTGTGAGCTTTTCTTTTTCCAAATTATTTCCCCCTTTTCTTCCTTTACCCCCAGCACCCCAATTTTCCAAGCCATCTTTAATGAACATGTACTCTTTTGTAATCAAGAAAAGATTCTTTTTAAAAATACCCTGAGTACAGACAATGCACAAAAATTGCAGTCCGTTCTTGAATCCTAGCTAGAATTTTTGTAGATATTAACTGTTTGGTCCACGATTACACACATTGTTAGAAAGCAGCTGCTGCGCCACTTCAGCTTTTATATTGGGAAAGTTGTACATGAAGTATTAAACACAAGGGGTTATCAACCCACTGTGCTCTGAAACAGCCTTACACTGGGGGATAAAAGGAAACTCATAGGCAAACAGAACAACTACCAAGGCTTCTCTTTTATCTTAGCAAGACCCGTGACAAACCTGATACCAATATCTAATCATGTTAAGTGCACCTTACAATAAGGCTTAGTGCTTCAATAAAACCTTAGTAAAGCAAATCTGTTCTCTTAAAAGGCGAAGTAAAAATAGTTTTTAGTGACACGAATAAAGAAAGTTTAAAACTGACACTGGGTTCATTACGCAGGCTCTCTCCACAGAAATACCAATCTAACTGATAGTCATTAAAACAAGACGTTATGCAGCTTCCATTTTGGGCTTGTTTTTTAAAATAAAATTTCCCCCCTGTGGTTTGCAAAGTTGTTCATAATTCAGTTTTTACAGGTATTCAATATTCCAACACCAGTCTCACCACCACTGTGACCTTCCCTCCACCATTATCCACATTTTCCCTACCGCCCCCTCAAGCCTTTCCCTTTCACAAAATAATTTATTTTAAATTGCTTGTTATGGCTAAACGCCTCACGGAATTAATAAAAAATACTTCAGTAAAAAAGTAAAGTGGGAATATTATGACATCTCACCATGGGATCATTAAGTCCTTGTCTGAAGGCTTATTAAGCTTTTTTGTTGCTAGTTGAGCCATCTGTGTTTGTTTGGCCTAGTTGGCTTCTGTGTTACTTCCCCATCTAGTTTAGTGTCTTCCTACTGGGATGTCAGTATTGTAGAATTTAGAGTTGTCATGAGGCCACATTGGTGGCTGCACATTCCAGAAACTCCAGGAGCTATTACTGAGCAGTGAGTTTGCATGGGGGCAGTTGTGGGGTGTGGGTGTGGCTGCTGGGGCTTCCAGAAGTACGGGGCAAGGGGGAAGGGTTGGGTTGAGGCTTCCTATCCTCACTCTTAAGACCCCAGCATTCTCAGCCTGAAAACAGGTGTACCCTAATACTCGACAGTTTGGCGTCTCTGCAGATTGAAGCAGTGGAGTTGGGCATGGTGGTGGGTGTGGGTGAGGGTGTGGCTGCCCAGGCTTCGATCCTCCCAACTCGGACTTGTTTAATGAGGCCTACAGTGTGTCTGAATTGTGCTCCACACAGCAGCTCCTTCATTCATCCACATAAGTAATGTGTTCAGCTGCTGCTTGACCTTGGGTTCAAGGTCTGTATTATCAAGCCTGTTTTATTTATTTATTTATTTGCTTTTTGGGTCACACCCAGTGATGCTTAGGGGTTACTCCTAGCTCTGCACTCAGGGATTAGTCCAGGTTGTGCTTGGGGAACCATATGGGATGCTGGGGATCAAACCTGAGTTGGCTGCGTGCAAGGCAAACGCCCTACCCACTGTACTGTCTCTCTGGCCATTTATTTATTTTTATTGAATCACCGTGAGATACAGTTACAAAACTTTCAAGTTTGAATTTCAGTCATACGTTGATTGAACACCCATCCCTCCACCAGTGGACATTCTCCCCACCCTTTCTAACCCTCCCCCTGCCTCTGTGGCAGACGATTTTCCCCATACTCTCTCTCTCTACTTTTGGGCATTATGGTTGCAATGTAGATACTGATAGGCTATCATTTTTGGTCCTTAATCTACTTTCAGCACACGTCTCCCATCCCGAACGATTCTTCCAACCATCATTGACTTAGGGATCCCCTCTCTATTCCAGCTGCCTTCTCCCTCAGCTCATGAGACAGGATTCCAACTATGGGGCAATATTCCTGTCCCTTGTGACTACTGTCATTGGATGTCAGTCTCATTTTATATTCCACAAATGAGTGCAGTCATTCTATGTCTGCCCCTCTCTTTCTGACTCGTTTCACTTAGCATGATATCTCCATGACCATTCACTTATAAGCAAATTTCGTAACTTCATCTTTCCTAACAGCTGTATAGTATTCCATTGTGTAGACAAAGTTTCTATAACAAGTTGTCTGTCTTGGATCAAGCCTGTTTTAGAAGTTAGGAGAAATGCTGTGAGTGGTAGAGCTGGAGTTCAAGTCACTGTTTTTTTTTTTTTTTTTGAGTTTCAAGAACCTGGGATTTTTCTTTACACTATATGTCCTACCCATGTTCAGATTCCACACACCTTCTACCAGCTCTTTCAGTCAGACCAAACAGAAGCAGAACTACAAAAAAGCTCCGCGCGGTAAAGCAGAGAGAACCTGTTCACCACAGCACAGAGGAAAAGAGGAATCACCTAGTCAGAAAATAAACTCAATCTTAACAGAAACACCAGCCCTGCACTTTCCCCTGTCATTCAGTCCTCGTGTTTCCCAAGAGGCTCTAGAGTGCTCTCAGTGCTTCATCTCACTTCTCTCTTACAATACCCATCTGAGGCTGGTGGTACCAAAACCTCATTTTAGACACGAGGACAGTGAGGCCCAGGATGCTTAGACATTCTGTGTTGTTCAAGATGTCCATAGCCAGAACTGTCAAGACCTTGAATTCTGCCAGTCTGTCTGGGTTTGACTCATGGCTACTCTCCTGCCTTTATGTCCCCTCCTATCTCTCGGCACTTCCGGATTGCTGGGCTTCCTTCTGGAGGATGGTCCCACCCTCCTGTCTGCATCCCTGACCTTCCTTGTGTCCTCCAGGACTCCAGTGCCATTTGCCCCTGTCGCCCTAAGAGTCTTGCAGGTGTAGATACGTAAGCATGAGTCAATGCTGATTCATTCCTTAAACAATTCTGTTTTCCTCTACTACTCTGTTGCAGAATGTCTGATTTTTATCTTGCTGCTATTTTTTTTTTTTTTTTAGGTAACACCTGGTGATGCACAGCAGTTACTCC